AATCGATTGCCTTAAACTTCTTTTTCCAATGTTTTGAGTAAAACATTGGTGGCGACTCCATGAACCCTTCCTTTTTATGAAAACCGCTAATCCATGGAGGGTCCCGCTTGGGATTAACATGGATTGGTGAGCCTTTTAATAAAATTGCTCGTTTGACAAGGTCTCAGTTTGAGAATAAGTCATTCTAGCAATCCATATTTTTAAACAAATAAAAGAGTCCAACCATCCTTCGCGAATGCCGAAAGCCCGTTTCGGGCCGGTGGCGACACTCATTCATGTTGCAAATGAAATTACACTTATTTGTAGTTGAAAGAAAAACACAACGTTTACATCTTTAAATGCCTCTCATAATTCACACCATTAATATTATTAAAACAAAAATAAAACTCCTAATTTAAGTTTCATAACAATCTTCAGGGGTGAACAGACTGGATTCCCCCACAATCTAAACAAAACCATATATTCATCATCAGGAGCATGTTACTGATATTCAATAAAATAATATTTCTTTCAATAAGTAGCTCTAAATAAAAGGAAAAGCCACATACAGTTATGTCTCTCTCACGGATTATTTTGCCACGCTCTCCTTCAAGAAGCTTCTTTGTGATGCTGATATCCAGCTGAAATGTTTCTGCAATTGCCAAAAAGAAAAGCCACAGTTGATCTGTCAGATCCTCAAATTTAAATATTCAGACATTGGTGCAAAAGGATAAAAATAAAGAAAAAAATTATTAGTAATCTCAAACGTGTGTGTGCAAGATAGAAAACTAAGTAACGGGTCTTCTTGTATACATTTAAATCGTGTAATTGTCTAATTTAGTAGCCCATAAGTTGGTGTGCGTGACCGACCATAAGATGATCCACTTCCACTGTTTATCTGAGTTTAGTTAATTGACTTTTTCTTTTCTGTTTCTATATGTTGATGTGGTTGGGTGACCGATTTATCTATTAATTGTGAAAACAATGTCATTCTTTTTCTCCTAGGTTCAGACAATGTAATGTCATTTCTATTAATTGTGAAAATAATTTCATCTAACTAATGTAATGGGTGGTCCAACTCTTTGCTGGAGGCTGACAATGTATAAACCATAACAAAGCGATCAAGGAACGATCCTTCACTATATGCATTAAAATTATTTAACAATGTTATATACGATACATTCACTATCTTTTGGCGAACTTCTAAGTGAAAAAATATCACACTTTATTTAATACAGAGAAAATTAAGTACCACAATATCCTTTAACACAACAATATATGCCATGTTTATTATAGTCATCCACTTGACTAAACTAACATGTTAATGAAAAAAATGTAAGTATCAATTAACAATATAAAAAAAAACTCTTTATAACAACATTTTACCAAAACTTTCTTATACTACAACAGCCAAAACTTGCTATTAGGAACTTCATGCAACAATCAAAACATGAACCACAACCAACAATAACAACAGCCAAAGCTTAAAAACTTCCTACTTTGGATGGAGAGAGTTCTTAAGATAATAAACAACCACTAACCACAGCTGCACTTGATACCACACAAACTAGGAGAATGATGATGAAATTAGTTTTTTTTTTCTAATTGAACGCATAGGTGGAGAGTAAAACTTTCTTCATCCATTGATCTTAATTAATATGTAAAATATTCTCACATGACCTCCTTTAATTTATTTTACCTTTTATTGGCTGCTTTTTTATTCTCCTATAGTAACACCTACTCTTTCTCTCCTTCCTATCTCATCATCGAAAGTTTTACTTTTAGGTAAAATTTTGGAAAAATCATATTCATATCACATGCTACTGCTCTCCATACTTTTCACAATAAAAATAAACTGATGCAAGAAATTGAACCAGTTAGATTGCATTATCTGGTATTTTCTAAAGCTAGGCATAAAGTATTCACCATAAGGCCAATAATTTCTCAGAAGTCAGAACACATCCATGTTTCCTCACACTGTCAAAGTTGGAATACCACTCTCTAGTGGTCATTGGAATGTATAATGATGTAAACAATTTTAACATTGAAATTCGCTCAAATAACATCCATATAAATATGCTTAATTAAAAATCCTTACTTTCTTCTGGTTCACTTTTTATTTGCAGATCCAATAGTCTACAAAAATGGAGAGTATATGCTTTCTCCAACAGTGGTGGCAATGAAATCAACACCGGTGTTGTTACAAACCCAGAACAGAAAAGAAAAGAAATTTTTTATTCAATTGAATGAACCAACAAAACAAGGGGGATAGATCTCTCCGGCGAGGGTTTCCCCTTCGCAAAGGATTTCTCTTTTCACAAAGAGCACAAGCTCAATCTACAAATGACACAAACTGAATACCTCTTTCTTTA